ATGGTATGCCCAGCACAGTCCTAGCATCCCTGCACCTGCCACTGAAATGCAACCACCCCTGAGGTGGAGCCCCAGCAGCTGATCTGTGCATGGCAAAGCTCTGGACTGAGACAGCAAGCAAAAATACCCCAGGCGAAGGAAGCTGCAAGTGATGGGGAGGATTTTAAAACCTTGTGCTACAGAATGGCTCTGCTTGGAGGATCTGAAGCCCATGGCTTCAAGTGTGGGGCTCCCTGGCCCAGGCTAGCACATCAGGGCTGAACTGATACCCCCCAGGAGCACTGGGAGGGGGAAGGGAAGAGGATGGAGCCATCCTTGGATGGCTCCATGCCTAGCAGTGACCAGCCCTTCAGAGGTGGATCTGGACACCAGTGACTGAGTTGATGGGGCAGTTGTATTTTCAAAGGAAGGGCCCCTTCCTGATTGCAGATCTGTTCCTGTGTGGTCCAGGGGCAGCTCTGCTGATTCTGTAATGAATGAGTAAACTAGCAGTGTGAGCCCTGCAGCGCTGGCTGCCCTGTTCTCCTCACGCTTCATCAACAGAGCCCCAAGTTGGGCCACAAACACCTGGAGGCAAAGGGCTGCTACTGGTGTGACAGGGAATAACTCAGCCCTGCAGAGCCCTCCTTGCTGGTGAGGTATAAGGAGGGAAGGGTCCAGCTTGACTGATTCCAGGCTAGCTGTCAACACTGCAAACTCAGACCATCTTGCTTATAAACTGAACCTGTTTGACCTGAAAATTAAGATCTATGGAGCCCCATCCCCTGTTCTAGTCTGTTTGCTGCTGAACTGCACACATAGGTTAGACTGATCTGGCTGAATCCAGCTGTCCAGTTCCCTGCTGAAGCACTTTAACTCGCATCCACTTCACTCTCACTAGCTTATCTCCTCATGGGGCTGTCCCAGGTGCAGGGGAGTGAACCAAAGGCAAAGACATGGGGAAGTCTCAACCCACAGACCTAGCTGTGACTCTTCTCCCCTCTTGCTGGCTCTAGGTTCATGCCCTCGTTCCTGCGGCTGGGATCCTGGAACGTGGTGATGTTTGTGACCTACGAGCAGCTGAAACGCGCCATGATGGCTGCCCGCAGTTCCTGGGAGGCCCCTTTTTGAGCCTGTCATGGGTGCAGCTTACAGATGTGGCATGAGCCCTTGCTAGCACTGACTCTCCTGTCTGTGAACTGAGACTGGCTCTGGACTCTTCCAAGCTGCCTCCAGTCACTAATGTGTCAGCCTCTAGTCTCTGATCTCTGCTCCTCTTCTGGAACAAATCTGGGCCTGCAGGGAGGAGCCATAGCTGTAGTCCCCTGGGAGTGGGAGCAGGAGCCTCTGCCCTAGTAGGGAATGTGACCCTTCAAATTGGGCTTTGTTTTTTAATGGCAAGTTTGCTTCTTCCAAATTAGAAGGGCAAATGTACATTTCCCCCCGCCCCCAGGGCCAAGACCTGATGGACCTAGGCTGATGAGACACTACAGCTCAGAGGGTAAGAGACCGGAATTGGAGTTAGCACCTGGGATGTGGCAAAGCCCTGGACCAGCAGTCTGGTAGCGGGCAGTAAAATCCCTCGATCAGGGAGTGAGATCCTTCCCTGATGGCAAGACAGGGAAACAATCTTCAGCTGGATCATTCCAAGGGCTAATCACTAGAGCCTATGTGTTCAGACTGGCAGGCCTGGCCTGAACATTAGGCTGCCTTACTCTGTATTTCATTGACTTGACTTTTCTGGCTGCAGAGCTCTGAACTCCCCTCAGCTCAGCAGAAGGGGCAGATTCTTGGTGCCTTTTGAAGACCAAGCCACTTATTTACATGCCTTAATATGGATTAGGGGACCTGACTTCTAAGCACCAACACCTTAAATGGCTGGCCTAGAGCTTTATGTAGCAGCTGTTCCAAGGTCTAGTCAAGGAGTAAGGATTCTAGTGCAGTGATGCTGGAAGTTGGAGGAGGGTGGGTCAGGCAGGTTGATGGGGATTTTTTTTTAAAGTCCTAGTAACTATTTATTTAATTTTAAGTGGAAAGAATGTTGGCCCCCAAGTTTCCTGCTGTTAACACTGTTCTGATGAGACAGCAGGTGTGTGGAGGAGCATCAATGACCTTGTGGTAGGGGTGAGTTCAGGTCTTAAAATAAAGCTGGAGTCAAACTCATAGCCTGCTCCTTGTGTGAACTTGCTTTGTGGGGGGAGATTGATCTGCTGCTTTTTGCTCATAATGCCTTGAACTGAAAGGGCCTTCACGCCTTGGCACTGGTTTGTGGCTGCAATGAGCTCTGGCTTTGGGTGCCTGATCAGAGCACTTCCTGAAATGGGGCCCCTTGAAGGTGGGCATCCATCTGGGCACCTTAACATCACCAACTGGTCTACTAAGCCCTCTTCACTACCAACCAGCCTAGCTCTCTGGGCCCAAAAGGTAGGGTTACAATTTGGAAGGAGAGGATACTGGTTTTTTTTTCTTCTTGCTGACACTTCTCCTTCAGCCCTTAAGGATGATCCAATAGTGACAGGAGCTGAAGTCACGAACTAGATCCGAGCTAAGGCCCAGCTAGCTCTGTATCCTAGCTCCAACAGTGGCTAACATCAGATGGTTTAGAGGAAGGTTTAAAAACCACACGGTAGCAGATGTGCAATTCCACCCAACATCCTGCTCTCTACCAGTTAGAAACTGGCTTAAACATGAAGCACAAGGTTACATTTGGGAAGGGAGATTATGTTGCTATCATTGGTTATAGCATGTCCTGTATCAAGCAATCCAACCAAGTTCTTGGTCTCTGACTTCCTGTAGCAGTGAGTTCCACAGTTTAACTATGTCTGTGGAAACCTCATTTCTTCTGATCAGTTTTGACTTTGCCCCCTTTTGACTATCTCCTTTTGAGAGAGGCAGGAAGTTCCTGTGTCTACTGTTAGTAACCATCCCTTTAGCCCTACCCCTTTACCTGGCAGGGCCCAGGGCAAAGAAAGAGTGGGAGCTGCGTAGGGTAGGAAGGGGGGAGAGCAGTCTTTTGTTGCCACTAAGCAGAATTCCAAATGACTCAAAGGCCCCTGAGTATATGTCCCTTCCCCCTGCCCCTTCCAACTTTTGGCCTATGACCTAGCAAAACTTATTGCCTCCACTAAGCAGTATTACTTTCCCCTTCCAGCAGCAGTAACTGCTATTAAGTATCTGTGAGGAAGTGGAAACTCTCCCCTAACCATGTCTGCTTCATCTTCACCCCTATGAACAAGACCCCTAGCAGATCCCTGCTGATGGCCAAGAGCCACACAGGGGGAGGTGGGACAGAATGGAAACTAAGCAATGAGAAATCAGCCCCTTGCTTGGTGCTGGACAGAGGGAGGCAGTTGGTGAGGAGGATTTCCGGTGCTCGGGCCAGCACTAGGCACAGGGATGGGCAGTAGGGCTCCTGCCCCTTAGGTCAGAAGTCTCCCAGCCAGGGGAATGAAAGGCATTTCTTTCTCTACACCTGGCTGCATTTTGCACAAGGCTGGTCAATTACATTTTTCTAGCCTTTCATCCCCAAAGGCTTTCCCCATTGCCTCTGGCACTGCAGCCAACAGGGCAGCTCTGTGGCAGAGCACAGTGTTGCTACAAACTGCTGGAAGTGAGGAACATCAGCATCCAGCATAACTGCAGGGAGGAATGTAACAGGGCCAGGACAGCAGGGTTCCATGTTGAGCTTTAACCAGTACAGATCTCAGGTCGGTCAATAACCCCAGCTGATTCTTTTATTGCTCTTCACTGCAGTCATTACAGAGACTGTTTCAAAGACACCATGCAGTGGGGGAGCCATCTCTAACACCAATAACATACACCCAGTGACACAATCTGTACAAATAGCTAGAAAGCTTTATGCCCCTGGGTCCCATGGAGCTGAAGTCACAGCATGCTTAAGTCAGGAGTGCTTGTCTCAGGAGCTGCTTCTTGGCCGGCGTGAGCCTTTCAGGGAAGCGGATATCAAAATACATGACGAGATCCCCTTTGCGCGTGGGGTCACTAGGCAGAGGCATCCCTTCCCCAGGCACGATTTTGAAGTACTTGGGGCTGGAAGAGCAAAGGCCAGCATTATGCAGGAGGGTGCAGGGAGTAACCTTCCTAAGGCTGCAGTGAGAACACACCCAGCAGTGCCACCTGGAGTGCTCGGGAGGGATAATCTCATTAAGGAGCAAATTGTGTCTCTATGTGCAGCTCCCTCCGAGGGCAGGAGCTGGCTCTAACAAGCTTGCTGGGAGGGATGCACGGAGCTTGGAAAAACACAGGTAACAATTTCTGTAAGGTGCTGTTCTCTGAAAAATGATGCTAAAAATGGGCTTTGGGGCTCTCTCTTCCCTTTGTCTCAGTGACTCCTGATTGGATTTCCTCAGCTGTTTTTTCTAACGGCTGCCCTGGGATCTGAAAGGCCAGCTGGGTTCATTCTGGCTCAGGCATTGCAGTTGGTCAGAGAGAGTCTGCAAAGCTGAAGTCTGCCCTGAGTGACTCAGTGCAAGGGGTTTGTGCGGGTGCAGCGAGCTGCCTCCAGTGTTGGGGTCAGTGGGGGCAGAATTCAGCTCTGCAATCGGAACTGAGCTAACAGTCCTGTTCATGAGCTGGGTCTCCCTCCTGGAGCTGTGTGGGCGCCGCAGGCCTGGCAGGACTAAAAAACAGTAAGCCCCTGGGGGTGTCTGTGATGTAACTAGATCTTACTCTGCAGACACAGGAGAAGCAGAGCTGGGTAGTATGAAGAGGCCATTTTTACAGTCAGGCCAAGACTTTCAAAAGCGACTAGTGATTTGGAGTGCCCAATCTAAGACCTAAAGGGGCCTGATTCCCAGAGAGCACTGAGCCCCCACCCTCGGATGGTCTCAAGGTGCTTCCCTTTGAGCATCCCAAATCACTGTTGAAAAACTCGCCTTCCCTTGAGAGAGCAGACCCACGCTTTACTAAAAGCGCCACAAAACAGCCTTTCCAAACACTAGGCGAGCAGGGTAGTTTCCCTTGCTGATTGCATACGGGGCTATTTCTGCTTCGGCACTTACTGGACTATGTCATTGATGGGAATATTAAGCAGTCTGTCATCTAGGGTTCTCACATCCACTGTACAGCCAATCAAAGCCTGCAAAAGACAGAGCGAGGCACTGAGCGAAGATGTTCGTTGATTCTGTTATTCCAAATAACAGGCACAGGCTGAAGCAAATTGCGATCCATGGGAGCCTGGGTAAGGCTACTACAAAGGGGCCTTTACACCCTGAGCGTTCCTCCAGGCACAAGAGGATCATCCCAGTGTAGAGGGATCTTCTGAGTTCTGACTGCGCAGAGCCAGCGTACGGGCTCCTCTGCCACATGCACCCACATGTCCAACTGCCAACTAGGGGGTGTGCCCAGAGAAAAGTGGGGTGTGGCTGAGGCACTGCTGTAACCCCGGGTGGCCTCCAGCTATTTGTGCAGCCCCCAAGCTGATCTACATTACGCTGGGGGGGATCAGATCGAGCCACAACCCACCTAAAACCGAAGGGCTTAACACCACCTTTGCACACCCCGTCCCTCGAGTTGCACTGTGACGCCTCTGGGCCAGATCAGAGGATCTGGTGTGAAGAGTGGCAAAGTACCCGTGAGAGCTCATTCGTGTGAGCAATGGAGAGAGAAGCTGAAGGAATTTCGCAATCACTCGCCTTTGCTGAGGAAGGAGCTGAGAGTAGTGAGGCCATTGTCCTTAAAAGGCCTGGTGAGCAAAGAGAAATGCAATGCACGAAGGGACAAGCTTGTCCCAAAGGGTGCAGGGGCCAGAGCAAGCGTGGAACCCTTAAGAACAGAGCATTGTGACTTAACAATAATCCCTAGCTCTTCCACAGTGCTTTTCATCTGTAGCTCTCAAAGCGCTCGACAAAGGGAAGTGTTATTCTCCCCATTTTACAGACGGAAAACTGAGGCAGAGAGACGTGAAGTGACTTGCTCAAGATCACCCAACAAACCAGTGGCCGGGCTGGGAACAGAACCCAAAGCTCCTGAGTCCGGGTCCAGTGTTCTAGCCACTAGGCAACATTGCCACCCGTGTCATGAACGAACACCACGTTCAAGACTACCTAGCAGTGGATATTTGAAATAAGGAACTTTTTGGAAAAATTATAGTTAATGTCGGAGCTAACTCTAGCACCTGACACCCTGAGTGGAATTCTAGCTGCAAGGATCTGTTTCCTTATACAAACTGGATACTGGTTGGCAGTGCAGTAGAATTACAGTTGCTCCTTATGTTGTTGTTCTGGCTTGTTGCAGACTGACCAATCCATAGGCCATTGTAACTGGAGTTTTAAGAGCGCTGGGTAACATTATGACCAACACCACCACCAGTAATCATACTTTCAGCTGAGTTCAGGGTCACCCAAGACCATGCTTCAGGGACAATGGAAAGGGTCAGGAAGGAATTCTCCCTCCACCTACCACGTACGACATTGCAAAACTGGTGAGGTGCCCTGTTTCGGGTTGGTGTGGGCAGTGCCAATTCAGAAGCAAAAGGCATTAGCCATAAATAGATAATCAATTTGATGGTTAGCTCTTAGGACAGGGGTGCGCAAACTTTTTGGCCCGAGGGCCACATCGGGGTTGCAAACCTGTAGGGAAGGCTGTGCCTCTCCAAACAGCCTGGCCCCCACCCCCTATCCATGCCCTCCCAGTTCCCACCCCCTGACTGCCCCCCTCTGAACCTCCGACCCATCCAACCCCCCCGCTCCTTGTCCCCTGACCGCCCCCTCCTGGGACCCCACCCCCCCTATCCAACCCCCGACTCCCTGTCCCCTGACTGCCCCGACCCCTATCCACACCCCCACCCCCTGACAGCTCCCCTCCCGGGACTCCCACGCCTATCCAACCCCCCTGCTCCCCGTCCCCTGATCGCCCCCTACAGAATCTCCGCTCCATCCAACCGCCCCCTGCTACCTGTCCCCTGACTGCCCCCAAGACCCTGCCCCTTATACAACCCCCCACCCCTTACCATGCCGCTCAGAGCAGCAGGAGCTCGCAGCCTCGCTGACCGGCTGGAACCAGCCACACGCCGCGCTGCCTGGAAGGAGCAGCGGGCCAGAGCGCTGGGGGCGCAGCGAGTTGAGGCTGCGGGGGAAGGGGGACAACAGGGGAGGGGCCGGGGGCTAGCCTCCCCAGCCGGGAGCTCAAGGGCCGGGCAGGATGGTCCCGTGGGCCGGATATGGTTTGCCCACCTGTCTTAGGACAAGGACCAAGTCTTTGTTCTGAAAAGAGCCGAGCACACTTTGAGGCACTAAATAAATAAAAAATACTGGAGATGTTGAATTCTTGGGGCCTGGTTTTTATACAGTTGAGACGTGTGATTGCACATCTAACTGGCATGCACAGTTACCATGACGGGGTGTGTGCGTTCACACAGACACACACCAGGTAACTGTGTGCACAGAGGGATAAGTAGGTGCATTTGCAGGCATGATGGTCATATCTACAGATGCAAAATTCCATAGCTCAAACGCATGAAAATCAGGCCCACAGCTCTTCTGTTTTCAGCGGAATGAAGTCAGCCAATTCAAGAGCGGCTAATCCATAAATACTGAGGATTAAGATGATAAATAATAGGCAGCCTCCCAGCAGTCTGACTGGCTGGCCCAGACTCTGTTTGGTTCAATTATAAACTGGCAATTCCTTTCATCCCCAATGCAGTTTGTTGTCATGCTGCAAAACCTCGCTGCCTTATGGGAAGGTAAGAAAGGAGAAGACACCGTCCAACTCCACTGAAGTCAACGTGCATCTCTTCCTTTTCCTGCATGCAAGTTGGATCAGGCCCCAAGTGCACTAATCATAGAATATCAGGGTTGGTGGGGACCTCAGGAGGTCATCTAGTCCAAACCCTTGCTCAAAGCAGGACCAATCCCCAACTAAATCATCCCAGCCAGGGCTTTGCCAAGCTGGGCCTTAAAAACCTCTAAGGATGGAGGTTCCACCACCTCCCTAGGGAACCCATTTCAGTGCTTCACCACCCTCCTAGTGAAATAATCAACATCCTTACCTTCCCTAGGGGGATGGTGGCTACATAGAGCAGGTCATCATCCTCCCTTTTAAACCTTGGGTGGAGTTTCTCTCGTACAATGAAGATAATATCAGCTGGGATAATGTTCGGGCCCTAAAGTACAAGAAATAAACCAGGGAATGAGTCAGACCGCTTCAGCTATAGGAGAACTGGGCACTTCCCCGGTACTAGTTACATGAGAGATCACAAAAAGCAAAAAGCCAATTACTCGAGCCGCCAAAAGAACATTCTTGCACAGGCAACTTTAATTGTGCAATTGCCGAGCTACTGAGTGTTTAACATAAGAACGGCCATCTTGGGTCAGACCAACGGTCCATCTGGCCCAGTATCCTGTCTTCCCACAGTGGCCAATGCCAGGTGCCCCAGAGGGAATGAACAGAACAGGTAATCACCAAGTAATCCATCCCCTGTTATCCATGCCCAGCTTCTGGCAATCAGAGGCTAGGGACACTCAGAGCATGCGGTTGCATCCCTGATCATCTTGGCTAATAGCTTGATTTTGCAACCTTAAGAATGTTCTTTTAACGGAGCTTTTTGGGTGTAACTTTGGTACTGAGCACTGCTGCGTGCGCTCCCTCGGGGATAAAATTCACCCCTGTGCTGAGGGCCAGCACAAGCCACATGCTCGAGCTAAGTCCCACTTAAGCCCTCAAATAGGGTGTAAAGCAACGCCTCGGCCTGGTACTCGTCCTGTGCACAGGAGTGAATTTCACCTGACAATATTAACATTCTGCATATCTGGGGCCTGATTCTCAGTTACAGCTCTCTGATCCTGAGGGCTGATCTGCGCCAGCCCCAACCCCAGTGGGAGTGACAGCAGCCAAGAGACTGCTCTAATCTGTCCCACTGGCATGGCTCCCCTATCTCCTGTGCTGGGAGCAGGGGCCACCTCCATCAGCTGTTTGCCAGCGGTTTTAGTTCTGTGATTCTCCACTGCCAGCGGAATGCCTGGCTGGCTACGTACGATTGGATTCTGGGCCCTCGATACTGCCTGAGCAGAGCCCCGAGCTGGATCGCAGCGGAGAATCAGGCCCCTCATCTTCAAAGCACTCTACAAACATTAACTAGTTAATCCTCACAATGCCCTGCAGAGGAAGTGGAGGGTTATCATATGGGGAAACTGAGGCAGGGAAGTTATGTGATTTGCTCAATGCCATGGCAGGAGTCCCTGTCAGAGCTAAGACTTGTGCTCCTAAATCCCTTAGGCAATGTAGAAAATCTCCCCCTTAGCCTCGCTGTGCCTCATCTTAAAATATGCATCATTACTCAGGCACGTTTTGTGTGCCTTGTTGATTAGTGTCTGTCAAGCACTTTGAGATCTTCAGATGGAAGGCGCAACAGAAACACAAGATCCCATTACAGCAAACAATGAATGAGCCAGTCAGTACTGGTGAAATCTTGCCGGGCAACAGTCACTACAAGCCCAGCCTGGAGCGACTGTTCTGTCCCATGTGTGTGGTTTAAAGCACTGCCCAGCAACACTCCCATGGAGACATGGGATGGGGTGACAGGTCAGGTAAACCAAAGCCAATTGCAGGAGAAACTTACCTGGTCTCCTTCTTTTTGAAAGGTAATCCTGGTGCCCTGCTTCCACCCGGGCTGCACGTCGATTGTTAAGATCTTATCTCTGATGGTGGACGTGTGACCGTCTTCATTCATCACCTGGGGTTTGAAACGGATGAGTGGGGCAGTCGGGTTTGGTCTGTATCTAGGAGAGACACCTGGGCCTTTGATTGGCTAGGATGCCAGTGATACTGCACCAGCCTTGTGGGCAACTGCCTTTAGGAAACGAAATCAGTTCTGGCTTGAACTGCAGAGCTTTTGTGCCCAGGCAGCTCTGCAAACCATGGTTATTACAGGAGTGCCTAGGGACCAACCAAGATTGGGCCCCAAGACAAACAAAGGGTGGGGGAAAGGGGCAAAACACACAGAGGGAACAATGGGATGGAAAAATCAGGCCACCTGGAGACAAATGTGGCTCCCAGTTACCCCTGTTCTACCTCACTGGAGTCTGCCAGGGAGATTAATATTTGCATTTAATTTCCGTCTGACTTTAGTGGGATAGCCATGGGGTCACTGGCCCTATATATTTGGCTTAATGTTTGAGGATTGTATTTTCTTCATTTCAAGACAGTCTGATTGCCAGCACAACCCACCAACCCCCTAGAGCCCTGTTGATGGCAGAGGCCACATAGCTAAGATCAAGGCAGGCAAAGAGACCCGAACCTGTTACGTTAACACTACAGAAGGCCAAGCTTTTCCTGCACCCTGCTCAATGCTGTGTAAAACAGTGTCAACTTTCAGCAGGGCCTCCTGTGCTCTGGCAGCGGGGTTGGGTCCCATGGCACCAGAGAGAGCACGGAAACTTTGGCTGTCAGGGTCCTGCCCGAACTTGTTGCTCTGTACAGCACACGTGAGCTGCTGCTGTGGCTGGCTATGAAAGAGAGGCCACCGCAGGAGCAAGAATGGATCCCTGGCTGCTCTCTGCACAGCCACAGGAGCACAGTTGCCATGGAGATGGAGTGGGGTTGGGGCCATGCACTTTCACGCCACCCTACTCTTCTCAACTGCCCTGCCCCACTGCCTGGAGCAGGTTACTCCCCACCTGTCCATTCCCCTATCGGCTGGGACTCGGGAGATGCTATCACAGAATATAGTGATCAGTCACATCTACTAATTTCAGTGAAACTTCCAGTGCCCTCCTAGTGAAACATACAACCCAGCCCAATGGGAAAGAACAGCTCTTCCACGACAGGCTCCCTTCGGGCAGCTGTCCCGCTCCAAACGCCACCGATTCAGGCTCACGTCTCACTACTCCTAATTCAGTCCCCCTCTTTCCTTACCCTGCGAGAAATCTTAATTTTCTTGGTGCATCCGTAGAACAGGTCCTCCAGTGACAGGTAGAGATCTCGCTCAATTGGCGGGTCCTGCTTCGCCACCCCTTTTCCCCGCAGCCCCCCGAATGCCATGTTCACCTCAGACCCATCTGGGGCAAAGAACTCTGTGCATATCAAAAAACAGAATCCCAGCTGTGCATATAAAATGATGGGGTCTAAATTAGCTGTTACCGCTCAAGAGAGAGCTCTAGGGGTCATCAGGCATAGCTCTTTGACAACGTCCACTCAATGTGCAGCAGCAGTCAAAAGAACGAACAGAACATTCGGATCAATTAGGAAAGGGATAGATAATAAAACAGTAAATATTGTAATGACACTATATAAATCCATGGTGCGTCCGCATCTTGACTTCTGCATGCAGTTCTGGTCGCCCCATCTCAAAAAAGATATATTCGAAAAGGAAAAGGGACAGAGAAGGGCAACAAAAATGATTAGGGGTATGGAACAGCTTTTATACAAGGACAGATTAAACAGGCTGGGACTGGTCAGCTTGGAAAAGAGATGATTAAAGGGGAATATGATAGAGGTCTATAAAATCATGACTGGTGTAGAGAAAGTGAATAAGGAAGTGTTATTTACCCCTTCTCATAACACCAGAACCATGGGTCACCCAATGAAATTAATAGGCAGCAGGTTTAAAACAAACTAAAGGAAGTATTTCTTTACGCAACGCACAGTCAACCTATAGAACTCTTTGCCAGAGGATGTTGTAAAGGCCAAGATTATAACTGGGTTCAAAAAAGAATTAGAGAAGTTCTTGGAGGATAAGTCCATCAGTGCCTATTAGCCAAGATGGTCACAGATGCAACCCCATGCTCTGGGTATCCCTAAGCCTCTGACTGCCAGAAGCTGGGACTGCATGACAGGGAATGGTGTCTTGATGATTGCCCTGTTCTGTTCATTCCCTTGGAAGCTCTGGCATTGGCCACTGTCGGACGACAGGATACTGGGCTAAATGGACCGCTGGTCTGACTCAGTATTGCCATTCTTATGTTCAATGACCCAGAAAAAGGTTAGATGCAATCACACCATCAGCTGAGAGTGGCATGAACTAGTGGCCTGAGCACAGGTCTGGGAGCCAGGCATTCCTAGTTCTAGTCCCAGCTCTGACTCTGACTCCCCTCTCTGTCCTTGGCAAGTCACTCAGGTCAGAGAAGTGTGCCAGTTTTTCAATGCCCAGCTTGAGACATGGGCCCAGTTCTTCCCCCTGCCCAGTTCTTGCTGATTTCAACTGCTGTTGTGGGTGCTCGGTGCCTCTGAAAATCAGGATCAAGATGGCTCACATCAGCCACCCAGCAAGTGAGACATTCCAAGACACTGACAGCTTTTGGCAATTTCCAAAAAGGCCTCCTTGTGCCTCAGTTTCCCCATTTGTAAAATGGGAGTGATCTCACCACTCTACCAGCTGGGATAACTTTGTGAATGTTTGCAAAATGTTCTGACCATGAAAAGCATGAATTATTATTTATTTATTACGTGTTTATTACCATGCTAAAGGAATTCCTGCTTTCCTCCAGGAATCCCTGAAGTTGTTGTCACTATCTTTGTTTGAAGGAGTTTTTTACTCCCCCTTTTTTTAACCAACATAAACGTAAAAAGTTTCCATTCTACCTCCCAAACTCTAAAATCAATAATTGGACTTTGCTCTCTTCTGGTGCCTTCCATCCAAGGACCGAAGACATTTATGAAGTAAGCCTCCCAACCCTGCTATGAGGTGGCACACTAATAATTATTAACCCCATTTTACAGACAGAGAAACTGAGCCATAAAGAAGTTAAGCAACTTGTCCAAGGCTGCCAAGTGAGTCAGTGGCAGACTAGGGAATAGAGCCTAGGTCACCTGACTGCCAGACATGTGCCGTGCCCCTAAGACCACCCTTCTTGTTTCCAACATGGTAGTTTGTTGCAAGTTCTTTGGGACCTGATCCTGTGATCTCCCCAAACAGAATGTAAATTCACTCCTGCAGACTTACAATATTAAGCCTTTAATTAGTTTGAAAACTTCACCGAGCGCCCAGATTGGGAAGAAACCTTTCAATCAGATTTTGTGAGTGTCCTGAGCTCCACTCAGAGCACAATGTGCTCCCAGATATCCAGGGACACGGGTCCAGAGTAACCTGGTGCTAGGAATGTCTCAGTGCTGATGGGTCCCAGTCTCTGGAGAAATAGACGAGGCAGGTTGTATCACTCTTCACCACCACCTAGTGGCTGACTGCAGCATGGCATAAAAATCTCAGTGAACGCTGCCTGCTCTTTGGGTCTCCAGGTTCTGGTGCAGTTGCCATTATTTGAGCCAGGGGATTTTCAAGAGGAGAAAGTGACGGGCTCAGGGGAAGACACTACAAGCCCAGCCTGGAGCGACTGTTCTGTCCCATGTGTGTGGTTTAAAGCACTGCCCAGCAACGCTCCCATGGAGACATGGGGTGGGGTGACAGGTCAGGTAAACCAAAGCCAATTGCAGGAGAAACAACCCTCAAACTGGGGTTCCAAGGGCTAATGGTGGCAAAGGCACAAAGGCAGGGTCTGGTTTTCAGGTGACTGTACAAAACTTTAACCTACTTCCTGCCAACCACAGGGCTGGTTCTGTTGAAGAGACTATGCTTGGGGCAATCACCATAAAAACAAAACAAGAAGCATCACAGGAAGGAATTATACCTACCAGCAAAGGGATTATCGCCTCCAAAGAACTCCTTGAAGACTTTATCAGCATTGCCGTGAAACACATAGCCAACAGACCAGGGATTTTCACTCCCAAATTCCAGGGGGATCCCACCTTTGAGACCCTCTTCTCCAAATTTATCATAGATGCCCCTCTTCACAGCTAAGGGAGAAAGAGGCATCAGTAGATGTGCATATGCTTTGATCATTTGTGTGTCAGATGAAAGTATATAGTTCTAAACCCAGGTCTTTGCTTGATCCTGGGATGTGTCACCCAAAGCTGTCATTAAGCATTCTCCTTGCCATAAGAAAATCTGAAGTAGCAGAAAGGATGCTACTGCATCAGTCTGGTAGCAACTATCTATAGGAGTCTCATACTTAGAAGCAATCTCAAAGGCTCACCCTTCCAGCTGGGGAGGGTTATACACTGAGTGATCCAGGGGAAGGTGGCTGATCCCCTCCTGTCCCTACCCAGCCAGTCATCCAATACACAGAATGGAAACCACAGAGAAGACTGTTACAAATCATTTTCCTAATAAGCTCATTAAGGTTTCCCACGACTCAGTTTCCACACAAGGATTCCTTTATTAGTCCCAAAAGCCACCTGGTGTTAATTACATCCAAAATACAAACTTAAGGATATATATGCCTATATTCTATATCCCAATGCCAATAGTTACAAGCACTGGTCAAAATGCTCACAACAAGATCGAGTACCTGGGAGGTACCTTGCCATCATAGCGTGACTCCAGAGGAAAAGCTCTGACAAAGAACCCCTCGAAAACTTTGCTTTTTTATACACTGTAATAAACAGGTAGTGTGGGACCTGAGCTAAGGACAGATAAAGCAGCTAGGGCTGAACAATGTCTTCTGCCCCAGTCAAGACAAGATTAATGACTGGGCCTCTTTCTTCAAGGTTTTCTTCTTATCTCATTGGGCCATATTTGTTTCTAACTACTAAACTACACAATTTTTAAATAATAAACTAAACAAACCAAATATATACAGCACCTGGTACCCAATTATCCAAGTTGTCTTTATTTCTGTGATCTCAACCCAAACTTTACATAAGAAGACACTGATATTTAAGAGTTACCACAAGTTTAACACAAACAATTTTTGTTTCTCTTCAATCCATCCTTTTACATGCTTCGGGCCTATCACTCATGCTAAAATCCAAACTCAATTTAACACCATAGTTTGCTTAGGCCTGATGTGGGCCTATATTCCCACAAAGACTACGATCTTCTCTATCTCCAGTCTTTACAGTCTAGAGAGACCCCAGAGAGATTACAAACATACAGCAACCCACAAGGAATATGGGGGGGGGCGGGGTCATGGAAGGTCAGATTTAGATGTCTATAGGTGCAATCTGCCAACAAAAGCAGAGAGAAAGAGAACAACAACTTTCAGCCATTAGATTTTCTTGTGCCTGTGCATTGTGGTGGATTCTCCTTCATTGTAAATTTTTAAATCAAGATTGGGTGTTGTTCTGAAACCTATGTCCAATTCAAACAGGAATTAATTCAAAGGAGTCCAAGGACTTGTGTTCTATAGAGGATCTGACTAGACGATCACAGTGGTCCCATCTCGTTTTTATAATCTAAGAATCTTATGCTATATTAAAGAGAAATATTTTCTTTACATGTAAGTACTTATAGATCAGTGGTTCTCAACCAGGGGTACACGTCCCCCTGGGATACACAGAGGTATTCCAAGGGGTACATCAACTCATCTAGATGTTTGTCTAGTTTTACCACAGGGTACATAAAAAGCACAGCGAAGTCAGTACAAACTAAAATTTCATACAGACAATGACATGTTTATACTGCTCTATATACTATACACTGAAATGTAAGTACAATATTTATATTCCAATTGGAAAGGAGTACTTGTGGCACCTTAGAGACTAACCAATTTATTTGAGCATGAGCTTTCGTGAGCTACAGCTCACTTCATCAGATGTTTACCGTGGAAACTGCAGCAGACTTTATATACACACAGAGAATATGAAACAATACCTCCTCCCACCCCACTGTCCTGCTGGTAATAGCTTATCTAAAGTGATCAACAGGTGGGCCATTTCCAGCACAAATCCAGGTTTTCTCACCCTCCACCCCCCACACACAAATTCACTCTCCTGCTGGTGCTAGCCCATCCAAAGTGACAACTCTTTACATAGTCAAGTCGGGTTATTTCCTGCATAGATCCAGGTTTTCTCACATCCCCCCCACCCCCATACACACACAAACTCACTCTCCTGCTGGTAATAGCTCATCTAAACTGACCACTCTCCAAGTTTAAATCCAAGTTAAACCAGAACATATGGGGGGGGGGGGAGAGTTAGGAAAAAACAAGAGGAAACAGGCTACCTTGCATAATGACTTAGCCACTCCCAGTCTCTATTTAAGCCTAAATTAATAGTATCCAATTTGCAAATGAATTCCAATTCAGCAGTTTCTCGCTGGAGTCTGGATTTGAAGTTTTTTGTTTTAAGATAGCGACCTTCATGTCTGTGATTGCGTGACCAGAGAGATTGAAGTGTTCTCCGACTGGTTTATGAATGTTATAATTCTTGACATCTGATTTGTGTCCATTTATTCTTTTACGTAGAAGATTCTTTTATTCTCTACGTAAAAGAATAAATGGACACAAATCAGATGTCAAGAATTATAACATTCATAAACCAGTCGGAGAACACTTCAATCTCTCTGGTCACGCAATCACAGACATGAAGGTCGCTATCTTAAAACAAAAAAACTTCAAATCCAGACTCCAGCGAGAAACTGCTGAATTGGAATTCATTTGCAAATTGGATACTATTAATTTAGGCTTAAATAGAGACTGGGAGTGGCTAAGTCATTATGCAAGGTAGCCTGTTTCCTCTTGTTTTTTCCTAACTCTCCCCCCCCCCCCCCATATGTTCTGGTTTAACTTGGATTTAAACTTGGAGAGTGGTCAGTTTAGATGAGCTATTACCAGCAGGAGAGTGAGTTTGTGTGTGTATGGGGGTGGGGGGGATGTGAGAAAACCTTGATCTATGCAGGAAATAGCCCGACTTGATTATGTAAAGAGTTGTCACTTTGGATGGGCTAGCACCAGCAGGAGAGTGAATTTGTGTAGGGGGGTGTAGGGTGAGAAAACCTGGATTTGTGCTGGAAATGGCCCACCTGTTGATCATTTTAGATAAGCTATTACCAGCAGGACAGTGGGGTGGGAGGAGGTATTGTTTCATATTCTCTGTGTGTATATAAAGTCTGCTGCAGTTTCCACGGTAAACATCTGATGAAGTGAGCTGTAGCTCACGAAAGCTCATGCTCAAATAAATTGGTTAGTCTCTAAGGTGCCACAAGTACTCCTTTTCTTTTTGCGAATACAGACTAACACGGCTGTTCCTCTGAAACCTATATTCCAATTGGTTTATTTTATAATTATATGGTAAAAATGAGAAAGTCGGCAATTTTTCAGTAATAGTGTGCTGTGACACTTCTGTATTTTTATGTCTGATGTTGAGTACTATACTAAGCAAGTGGTTGTTAAGTGAGGTGAAACTTGGGGTACGCAAGACAAATCAGACTCTTGAAAGGGGTACAGTAGTCTGGAAAGGTTGAGAGACACTATTATACACCATGATCAAGTCACCTCTTAACCCTCTCTTTGATAAATCTAAACCGATTAAAATATATTTACTCTCACCGTAAGGCATATTTTTCAGACCTTGAATTGTTCTTATAGTTCTTTTCTGCACTCTCTCCAATTTTTCAACATGCTTTTTGAAGCGTGGACACCAGAACTGGAGGTGGTTTTTCAGGAATGGTCTCTCCAATGCTGTAAACAGAGGTAATATAACCTCCCTACTTCTACTTAATATTCCCCTGCTTATATATCCAAGGATCATGCTAGTTTTCTTGGCCGCAGCATTGCATTGGCTCCCTGCTCCTGCAATCTGACTGACACAGGTCACCGTGACCCTTACACCCATGCTAGCGATGTCAGTGGGGCTCCAAACACACACAGACCTTCACCAGCCTGGATCAGACTGCAGGAGCAGGGATCAGTGCTGCATGCAATAGATAAACAATTAAGTAACTGGTTTCAGAGTAGCAGCCGTGTTAGCCTGTATCCGCAAAGAGAAAAGGAGAACGTGTGGCACCTTCAAGACTAACCAATTTATTTGAGCATAAGCTTTCGTGAGCTACAGCTCACTTCATCGGATGCATCCGATGAAGTGAGCTGTAGCTCGCGAATGCTTATGCTCAAATAAATTGGTTAGTCTCGAAGGTGCCACAAATACTCCTTTTGTAATTAAGTAACTGATGTTAATAGCCAGACAGAGGATACACCAGCTAACCAGCATGGCAGCAAAGCAGATGATATGATGTGCCTAATGAAATCCCCCTGCAGAAAGTACACTCTGTACTTAAATATGACTTTCCAGACCTTACCCCTGAACTGCACAGTTTATCAGTGGGAAGAGAAACGTGTTCCTACTTACGATCACTTAACACTTCATAGGCTTCTGCGAGCTGCCTGAATTTATCCAGCGCCCAAGGTTCTTTATTTTTTAAAGGATGGTTCTTCAAGGCTAGTTTCCGGTAGCTGCAAAAGAGAAGCCAGGGAGGCCCAGCCCCACGGTGGGCGCAGTTAGATCCTGTTCTGACATGCAATCTGAAGCGCTTTTCAACTAAGTGCATTTGTCAGATGTTTAAGATCCCAAAACACCAGCGGAATGGATGTGTGGGATTGGGGCCCGACCCTGCCCTCCCGAGTTCCTCTCTTGCACATTGCAAGGTCTGGTTCCAAGGCTGGGTGTCTGCCCTGCTGTGGCTGAGGAAATCAGTAGCACCTAAACACAGCTGGTAATGGCTCACCTTACCGGACCACTCTGGTTACAGGGTGTATGGTAACGCCCATTGTGGCATGTTCTCCGCGTATATAAATCTTCCCCACTGCATTTTCCGCTGCATGCATCCGATGAAGTGAGCTGTCGCTCAGGAAAGCTCATGCTCAGATAAATTGGTTAGTCTCCAGGGTGCCACCAGCCCTCCTGTTCCAGTTGCATGGCTCTGCGGCCTGCCCCTCAAAGCGCTGGACATTCAGAGGGCGTGGAGGGTGTGCCCGCCCTCTCGCCGCGCCACGCAAGGCACAGAGCCTACAAGGTCTGTGGGCATCTAATCCCCACGGGTTTCTAAGGGAGTTAGGCACCCCCCGAGGCCGACGGGCCCCCGGGGGAGCCGCGGCCGGGCCGGGGCACCCGTGACCCGGCGGGGCGCACCCCCCGACCCCCGCTCACGCTTGTTTGATGTCGGCGTCCGTGGCGCTGCGGCGGAGCTCCAGCACCGCGTAGTAATCCTGCCCCATGGCGCCCGGCCCGCTCGGCCCCGCTCGCCCGTTGCTATGGACGCCGCCGCGCGGGGCAGTGTGGGAGTTGTAGTTCTTTTCACCCACACACCACTTCCGGACTACACGTCCCTCCCCCCCCCCCCGGGGCCTGTGTTTAGGGGAGGGGGTAAGAGACACCGCCCTCACCCACAGCAGGCCTCTGCGCACCCCCACCCCCCCGAGCTCCTGGGGCAGCGGCCCAGCTGGCTCAGTAGGGTTTGGGAGCCCCCCCAGAGAGACACTGCAGCCCCAGGGCCCCCATCCCCCCACCAGCTCGACCCCGCTCCTTTCCCCACCCTTTCCTCCACCCAGGGTTGCCACAGGTGGTTGGAGGGATTCCTGGAGGTTTCATCCCATGACAATTTTTAATTTAAAATGTATCTTGAATTCCTGGAGACTCCAGGCTAATCCTGGAGGGTTGGCAACCCTACCTCCGTCCTGCCCCACCTGCATGGGGCCTGCTTCTCTTGTCTCACTTCCCCTCTCCATTTCTTCTGCAGAGCCTTCACCCATGAGCCCTCCCAAACACCTGGCCTACTGAAGCGGATGTGTGAATGTCTGCGCTGTGGGGTATTCCTGGCATTAGGGAGGGCCGAGCGCACTTCCCCGTGTGCATTCATTTACCAACAATGCACAGCTCAGCACCCACTGTGCCATCATCCCCATTAGCAGTATTGGGGCATGATGGTATTTCATTTTCACAAATATCGGGAGGGAGGACAAAAGTCTTACAGGTGAACAGGGAACTGGTATGGATGGAGCCTTGCTGCATTCTGATAAGCCAGTCCTATATTCCTAAATGCTCCCTGACACCATGGCATGCACTGTGATAGTTATTTAAAAGTAAAATGGTTACTTGTCTTCAGAGTACTTTACACACGTTAACTCAGCCATCACAAATTCTGCTGGGGCTGGTGGGTTTTATTAGCAGATTTTCAGGAGTAAAAGGTGGGAAAGTAGATTTTGTACATGGGCTAAATTCTTATGACAATTTTGATTGGCTAAAAGGTAGTTACGGATCACCCCCTTTTTACAGATGGGGAAACCAGGCATAGAGAGATTAAGTGATTTGCTCAAGGTCACATAGTGAGTCAGTGGCAGAGCTGAATTAGATCTCTGGAGTTCCTAAATCTTATCCCACTGTTCACTCTAATACCATGTGACAGCACAGGAATTTACAAACACACGCACACAAATTATGGGGGTAGATCAGAGTCCACAGGACTGAACCTTTGTCCCTTAGACTTAACATTTAGATGAAAATGACAGTCTGCCATTATTATTCGAATCCTATGGCAAAAAGATGCTTTTCACCATAAGAGCTATATAATTACTGATTTAACAAAAACTGGTGGAATTTTAATGTGGCCTTCACTACAATGGCTATAACTACAACTGGATATATTTTTAAACTGCACAAGAACATATGTATTTCATTCAAGTGGAGATCAAACTGAAATCTCAAATTTAGTCTGAGATCAAATCATGGCTGCTCACTAAATTCACAGAATAGTCACACTTTTTGTTGTAGAATAGTCACAAGAAAGATTATGAGGCATTGAATGTGACATGGACATATCAGAGTCGTTTTGCTTTTAAATTAACTGTCTTGAAAATACATAAACTTCTCTAGACAGAGGTGATCAAAAGTCAATCCCTTTATTTCAATCAATTCTGCAGTGTGGTCACCTCCCCATCTCTTGTCTCTCCAGCCCCAAGATCATAGTCTTGTTAGAAATACCAAAAATGTCCACTGCGAAATGCGAAAACAGTTCTGTAAATATATTTGCAGATACAAAGGGTCTTGCATTAACATCTTCTATAAGCGGCTTACTGGAAGAGAATGGTCTAAACTTTGGTTGTAATAAGCAGCACAAGATCAAGAATTCTATGTACAGCCTTGTTCTTAGATTTTATCACAACAATGTTCTCAAAGCTTATATATACACTTCATACATACTGTACAGTCCTAGAAAGGTAGCTTTGCTTTTATTGGGAAGTGCTACTTAGCCTAGGTTCCAAACCTAGCTAGACTTTAGCCTTGGTTCTTAGTTCATCTGTTTTCCACACACCGCAAGTGGTCAGATGTCAGAAAGCTGGTATCTCCTCACCATCCCATCTCTGCAACATGTATAGACTTGTTTCTCCCATGTCGCTACCTAGAAGAGGGAAATGAAAATATTATTTAAAAATAAAACCTCTTACATGAACATCGTCCTCATCTGCTTTTCCCACAAGTGCCTTAGTGCTTTCTCCTATGCAACCCTATATGAGTAGGGAAAAACTCCCATCCTCTTAAATCCATCCTTAAAACACACCTCTCCCAGGAGGCAGACAAATCACAATAACTGGCCACTGGCAAGGTGAAAGACCAGCCGCGCTTGACAACTCACAATAGAAACATATCCATATTAAGCTAGCTCATCTTAATTAATTAGCCTCTTACAGAGAAAATGAAAAAGTGGAGTATCTTCTTACTATATGTTCCATTCTATGCATCCGATGAAGTGGGCTGTAGCCCACAAAAGCTTATGCTCAAATAAATCTGGTATCTCTGTGTTAACAATTGGAAATCCTACTGGTACCGCCATGGATAGGGCAGTTTGCTACTGACAGAAGCTCATGTACTTCCCCAAATGCTATATTATAGTGGATTCTGAACTCAGCAAAAGCCTGAAGAGAAATGGGAACATTTGAAAATGCAGCAGTTTCCCTGAAGGAAAACTGGAGGAAAAGTGAAGAAGACACATCAGTAAATGGTGAGCGGTCCTGTTGAACAGCACTGTTGGGCATGTTTCCTGGTCCACTAGGTATGTCCATTTTTCTTCAGATTTGCAATTATAAAGATGACTTTGTAACAGCGCTTGGGGTCTACAATGTGACAGCTAAATGCTTTATAGTTATTCAGCAACGACTCTTAGAAACAAGTTTTTTTGGGGGGTTTTGAATTGTTTCAAAGATGATGGGCTTTTCTGTCAGATCTGAGAGAGAAGATGGATTTCTTTTGCTCACGGATCACCACCAGTTAAAAGTCTGCAGGCCAAACTCTGCCCTTGGGTATGCTGGCCTACGCTGCCTTCAGGGGGTATACTGTTGGAACAGATGGCAAGATATGACTTTGCAATAGGGCTGTCAATTAACTGCAGTTAACTCATGTAACTAGATCAAAAAAATTAATAGCGATTAAAAAAATTAATCGCAATTCATCGCAGTTTTAATCGCACTGTTAAACAACAGAATACCAACTGAAATTTATTAAATATTTTTGGATGTTTTTATACATTTTCAAATATATTGATTTCAATTACAACACAGAATACAAAATGTACACTGCTTACTTTATATTATTTTTGATTATCATTTTTACAGTGCAAATATATGTAAACAAAAGAAACAATATTTTTCAATTCACCTCATACAAATACTGTAGTGCAATTTACAAATATAGATTTTCTTTGTTACATAACTGCACTCAAAAACAAAACAAAAAGCAAGACTTTAGAGTCTACAAGTCCACTCAGTCCTACTTCTCGTTCAGCCAATCATTAAGACAAACTAGTTTGTTTACATTTGCAGGCGATAACGCTCCCCTCTTCTTATTTACAATGTCACCAGAAAGTGAGAACAGGTTTTCGCATGGGACTTTTGTAGCCAGCAATGCAAGGTATTTATGTGCTACATATGCTAAACATTCATATGCCCCTTGATGCTTTGGCCGCCATTCCAGAGGACATGCTTCCATGCTGAAGACGCTCGCTAAAAAAATAATGCGTTAATTAAATTTGTGACTGAACTCCTTGCGGAAGAATTGTATGTCTCCGGCTCTATTTTACCTGCATTCTGCCATATATTTCATGTTGTAGCAGTCTCAGATGACGACTCAGCACATGTTGTTCATTTTAAGAACACTTTCGCTGCACATTTGACAAAATGCTAAGAGAGTACCAATGTGAGATTTCTAAAGATGGCTACAGCACTCAACCCAAGATTAAAGAATCTGAAGTGCCTTCCAAAATCTGAGAGGGATGAGATGTGGAGTATGCTTTCAAGAATCTTAAAAGAGCAACACTGTGATGCGGAAAATACAGAACCCAAACCACCAAAAAAGAAAATCAACCTTCTGCTGGTAGCATCTGACTCAGATGATGAAAATGAAAATGCATCCGTCTGCACTGCTTTGGATTGTTATCGAGAAGAACCCGGCATCAGCACGGACATGTCCTCTGACATGGTGGTTGAAGTATGAAGGACATATGAATCTTTAGGGCATCTGGCATGTAAATATCTTGCGACGATGGCTACAACAGTGCCATGCGAACACCTGTTCTCACTTTCAGGTGACACTCTGAACAAGAAGCAGGTAGCATTATTTCCTGAAAATGTAAACAAATTGTTTTTTCTCTGAGCGTTTGGCTGAACAAGAAAAAAGGACTGAGTGGATTTGTAGGCTCTAAAGTTTTACATTGTTTTATTTTTGAATGCAGGTTTTTTTTGTACATAATTCTACATTTGTAAGTTCAACTTTCATGATAAAGAGATTGCACTACAGTATTCGTATGAGGTGAACTGAAAAATACTATTTCTTTTTTTCTTACAGTGCAAATATTTGTAGTCAAAAATAAATATAAAGTGAGCACTCTACACTTTGTATTCTGTGTTGTAATTGAAATCTACATTTTCAAATATATTGAAAAACAACCAAAATATTTAAATAAATGGTATTCTGTTATTAACACTGCGATTAATCGAGCAATTGATTTTTTTAATCGCTTGACAGCCATACTTTGCAACTGGAACCTGGTTACAAGGAGCGCTAAGCATCATCATCAACACTGTGGCTGTACGGAGCTAGATCCTAATCCAGTGCTCTCCCCCAGAGCTGTGTTGACTCAGCAGGGTTTATGG